GAGCATAACTGTGTGCTCAGTAGTTTACTGAATTAGAGATTAATTTATTAATACCTTAAATTTCAAAGGTCTAATAAGGCCTTATTATTTTACTGTCAATCTTGCCTGTGTACCCTATGCAGTCCTCACAGTGCAAACAGCAGCATGAAGGGGTAAAGTCACTGTTGGTGGTGACACAGCTTTCCTAGTGACTGCCTTAGCAGTGGGCAGAGGCAGGCACTTCAGATGCACTAACTGCCAGTCCTGTGCTCTAACAGCCAGATAATTGTCCTGAGGTGTACCTTATTTGGTGCCTAATTCACCAGTGCTTGGCATGAGACATCTGGGATCCAACATCAGAGCTTTCTTCTAGTGTTATTTTTTCTCCATATATTATCTTAATGGTCCTCAAAGCAGTTTTGATTGTGTACCAACCAGCTGGAGGAATTGTTATTTATTCATCTCACGGGGTCTTTCTGTACTTATTTGTAAATGAAACCAATAATCCAATGCTCTTGCCGTCCTTGGGTGAGTTAGTAACCCCCTAAGGACAAACTTCAGGTGTTTCAAAGCACCTCTTATTACCCTGCTTCACTGGTGAGCACAAATTTTAGTTGGAAGCTTTTCCTGAAGAGGGGTCTGCATTTTCCAGAGCCTACAATTTGTTCCAGGGACATTGGTTGAGATAATGGATCACCTATTCCTACAAATCTGGTCCGTTTTACTGTATAAAATCCAACTTATTAGCAGTTATCCCAAAAGTGAAGGTGGTATGAGGGACTAGGTGGTTCTGATGTGGCTAAAAAGACATCCACTTTGATCATTTTTTTTTAATGGAATGTTGATGCTGTGGTGTTTGGGTGTTCTTGAATGGAAAATGTTTTGTTTCCTCATTCATAGTCTGGCCTCAGTGTGTTCAGCAATTCCATGGATAGTCTGCTCCAGAACATCTTTGGTTAATAAGAAGCTGAGAGATAAACCTTGTGATAATTGATAAGTCATTAGCAGGACTCTGGTTCATCAGATAAGGCCATTAATGGTTTCACATTTCCTAAAAAGTGGCAGTGTTGAGCTGAGTCACTACAGGATATAAGATGAGGAATTGTGTTGCAGCATAGTTTGAATGCAGTGCAGATTTACATCCCACTGTGTTTGTTTCTGCAATACATACTTTTTCTCTTTGAATACTCAGCTGGAATTTGGGTGCTTGTGTTGCGAGGAATTTATATTTTATTCCCTCAGATTTTGTACAGCAGAAGCTGTCTTTTGTTCTCTCGTTTCTCTGTTATGTGTCCTAATAAGTGGGTTTTCTCACTGGAAAGGTATTTCACTTTTTTTTACTATATAGGTGTTAGAAGCATTGTGATTTGAGCATGGTGGAGTCAAGCCATTCCATAACTACATTAAAAACGAGGAAAAAAAATCTTTCAGAATTCATTCCAAGTTTCTTATGATTTCTTTTTTTTTAAAATTGAAATTGAAATTTTTTTGGCTAGTTGGAATTGGAGTTGTCATTTACCTGGTATGGTATAAAAGTTGAAAAGCCAATAAAGACAAGAACATTGCATGACTTAGACATTCAGAGCTCTTAATATTGGTACTGAGAATTTTATCCTGTTTCAAACACAGGCAGGTTGAAGAGTTGAAACTTTGATCTTATTGAAAGAACTGGTTTGTTTGTTTGTTTTTATTTCAAATCATGTATCAATTGAACTGAACAGTTATGAAATGACAGCTTTGCTGGAGAGCTTGTGTCTCGCAGTATTTATAGGAAAGGTCACTTTTAATGCAGTGATGAGGTAGGTCAGGAGTGATTCCTGGGTTTTTGGTATTGACTGTGTGCAGCCAAGATGCCCTCGCGGGCACTTGGGCTCTGCGCTGCCGGGAGAGCCCCCAGCAGTGCTGACTGCCACTGGTGGAAACTGCTGGAAATGCAGCCGGTGCTGCCCAAATGAGGGATTAGCAGCAGACAATAAGTTACTTTGGGAGTCTTTTTCACTCTTTTTGTGTTGCTCCAATCGCAGTTAGGATTTTAAAACACTGTTGATCACTGGAATTGAACCTGTTTCTCAAAGGACCATTCCGAACCAGTGACCTGTAGCATTCATCCCTATCACCTTAGGGGATGAAAGCTTCTTGTTGTTCTGTCTCCATCCAGTCCTATCTTCTGCTGATAAATATCCCTTAATGGTTCATACTGGATTTGATAAATGAGCTTTTTATATTGAATAAAAGATCAATTGTGAAATTTCCTGCTAGTTCAGTCTAATTTTGGAAAAGACTGAACAACTGGTACGCAAATTCCTTGCTTACAGTGAGGCGAAGATAAGAGAGGGGATAACACCCTGGCTGAATTGAGGGACGAATTCTGATGGCATTGCTATTGAAAAGCAGGCCTGTTTTTAACCGATTTCTCCCCATCCATAAGCGTAAGAACTTGCTTGATCTCAATAGCAATGTGATGTGAGTCACTGAAGGCTTAATCTATACCTTAGTACCTCAGTCTGAAACACTCCTATGGGAATTCTACAAACCCGTTTACAAACATTCTTTTAACTATGGAGTAAATTTTGCCTGAAAAATATTATGGCTGCCTAGCATATTATGAGGACATCTCTGAGTATACAATAATGTACCATGTTTATATACTGTAGCTGCTTTAAACCTTTGCCTGTGAGTAAAAAAATTGAATCTGGTGTTTAGTGTCTGAATCTTGAGGGCTAAGCACATGAAACTCGTCATTTGTACTGGGGAAAGTCGGTACCAACTGCACAGGCTGCTCCTCTGCCAGTGTAAAGTGTAGCCTGTGTCCAGACGGCAGATAAGGATCGTGCTCTGATTAGCATACAACTTAAGGAGTTAATTGCAGCGCTTAAGTGAGCTGATAGCATCTCAAACTACGGTCTTGAAAGTGTCAGAGGAAGAATAACAGTAATTTGACTGTTTGAGATGGGAACACATCCTCTGCTGATAAAAGCCAACGTCACTGGTGTTGCCAGAGTGTAACTCGCTGTGCTAGGCAATGTCAAAAGCTACTGGGAAGAGCTGTTTAAAGCCTGCCTATGTATGTCTGGACATGTGTTAAAGCTCCCTTAGCATTCGGTATGGAAGGTACAGCCGTTGCATAAATAGTGACTTCTTTTTATAAATGCTGTGCTCCTCCGATAATTCTTTTTAAAATACTTGGAACGTCCTAGAGAAACAGCCAACTGAAAGGTGGCAGAATCTGACCTTACTTACTAATTTTGAAATGCAACTCGAAAGGTAATAGTCAAGTTCGAGATCAGTTTATCTGTTATTGTGTGGAATGTAATATAACACAGTTTCATTCATCTGAAATGATGCATATGAAGTCATTTGCGCTATGTCGAGGGCACCAAGCTTCCTAGTGCGGGGGGTGGAAGAGAAGACAGAAAGGACCACAGAGTGAAGGGAGATGTTGATGTTACTAAATATGTCTCAAAATCTGTCAGGTCCAGACACGTCATTGGGAAATCTGGAGACAATGCCTTGTAGCTGGTGATTAGGGCTAAAACAACTGAGGGACGGAAGTGTAAACACTGGTTCTTAACTCTTCGTGGGTTGAAGCGTATTTACTGTACTCACCGACAATTTAATGGGAGAGAAAACAGTGAGAAAAAATAGCAAAGCACTATCCTATTTTAATTAGCACTTTGTAGCAGCTGCTCTTGGGCAATCGCACTTTAAGGTCCCTGTGAAAAAAGTTGGTCTTACTATGGTCCTGTTACATCAGTACGTAGTGACTTGTAGTAACTGTGGTTCATCTTGCTTTCCCTGGAAATAAGGAAGGCGTTTGCTGAGTCACAGCTCTTTCCCAGGGTTCCTAGGCCAGGGCAGCTGTGTACCAGCTCTTACACAATAGCCAAAAATGCTCGGTGTCAGCCTACAGCAGCAGAGCTAGAGCTTTGAACCTTTATAATCTTCAGTATTTTAATCAAATTTTGTTTGGCCTGGGACTATGTAAAAATTTAAAAAGCTCTCTGAAGTGCACACAGTTCTAGTTAACAAGGAAATCATCTTCATAATTTTTTCCCTTCAAAACCAGACAATTCCTGAAATTTCTTTTTTTTTTTACCAAGTGCTTTAGGCAGTGATTATTCCCAGTGATTTCTGCTGTTCTTCATGCATCTCCCACATCAATTGATACAGAGGACTCGTCGGGGCACTGTTGTCCCTGTTTAATCCGTAGTATGTACTTGCAGGAAGGTAGCAGAAAGGTGCCCAAGCCAACTTCAAAAGACTGTCACTTGAAGAAAAGAATCGGCAGCGTTTCCAGCAATTAGTGACAATAGGGGCACGCACCTGCGGTGAGGAACTTTGGCTCAAAGAAGCTGCTCTGAAAAACCTTTAAGCACTGTGGATTTCTAGTCTTAGATTTGAAGAACTGACAGAAATGACCTGTTCACCTCTGAACTGGTGACCTACAGGTGGGAAGCAGTATTGTTAGAGGCATGTAAGCAGAATGTAAGGCTGTGTTGTTTTGATGTTTAAAGTATCCATTTCATCTTGATGCAAAGAATAACAAAGGGGCGGTCTGGCTGATGAAAGGCAAAACTGCACTTGAGTTAGCTCAGCTAGAAAGCTAACTTCTGCAAATATTTTCACAATGTGCATGGTGGAGATGTGTTAATTCATTTGTACTTAAAACCAAAGTCAAGGATTTTAAGACTCCTGTTGTCCTTAACTATACACATGTTCTGCAGCCTCTAAGCCTTTGTAACCTTGTAAAGTAACACAATTTTTGTTTTAAAAATTAATGGTGCAGAGCTCTGTGTCGTTGACTTCAATGGAAGGAGTTTCAAGACCTAATATTGTTCAAGAACCTTAATTCTTGTGGATTGTTTTACTAAGGCACAGAGCAAAGTGGTGCCAGGGAAATTAGGTGAAGAACACTGGAAAACAGTTCTTTTAGAAGCTGTGTTGCTCATTAAGGAACTAATGGCAGTCAGTGAAGTCATAAGAGGAGCTGGGAGCAGTCAGTTGCTCCAATATGGTATGTTCATGCTGGATGTGACTATTATTACAGGAGAATTACAGCAGTACTGTGCTGCCAAAAGTGAAGGTAAGAACCATCACTGGTTTCTTCAAGTGCTTGAGACTGGCAGAAATCTCCTAAGTGGTCCCTGCTGTGAGATTTTAAACTGGGTAGGAGGAAGAGGGAGGCGATGTATGACCAAGGGGAATTTGGCTAGTGAAATGTTTTAGGATGGCATAAAAATTATAAAACACTCCGATAAATAATGTGCTATTTACCATGCAGTGGTTGCTGTTAAGATGTTTTACTCCTATAGAAATTGATGGCAATGCTCTCTCTCACGTTTTCAGTATGAATTCTTAAAACAGAAGGAGCAGATGTATCCTTTTCCAATAACTTCCCCTTTCTCTGCTCCTTCTCTAATAGCAGATGCCTTCCTATAAGGTATCTTTTCTGTTATAGGTAGAGAAGCCCTGTACACTTCACATCAAATAAGACTCAATCAAGCACAATTCTCTATAACATGTGCATATATCCCTGGGGAGACAAACGTGCTGGACATGCTGAACTGTGCCATCCACACTGCTTGGTGCAGTGCTGGGAGATGCCAACGTGAGGCTGAGCAGTGGCTGCAAGAACTGCAGGAAATCAAGCAGTTATTTGAAGCAGATTTGAAACATTTAACAGACAGGCTAATAATTGCTTCATCCCTACGCTTACGGACACAGCATTTCTCAGAATCAGCCAGTAAAACATTCCAAGTGTGACAGGAGGATATTTATCCAACAATAAAGAAATCTTGTCTAAAATATACTTTCAGTGTCCAGTAGCTTTTAGAATTGTAAGCCCACAGCACCTTGCACAAAATATTTGGTAATTTTCGGCGTAGAAACCTATGATTTTTTTTAGGTGACAACTCATTGGAAGGGATAAAAGGCTCACAAAGAGATATGTGTATTACCTAGTAAAATTCAATTTTATTAAGCATAGCTACCAGTTGCTGCTTAGAAATCCAGTTCCAAACTGAATTAAAATGGCAAAAGTGTACAGCACCTGTCTTCCCAAAGACTTACCAAATTTTATAGGATCACAAAAAAGTCACATGAAACTGGAGTAGCTAATTTCAAGATCATTTTAATAACGAATCATTTGAATTTAAGCAGATGAAGGATAAGCTGAAACAGGGATAAACTGAAAAGGCCATGTGCCGAGTCCCTTCATTATCTATGTGGCTAGAAACTACTGTGCTTTATCATCTGCTGTCTCTTTTTGCTATCTCCCTCTTTAATTTTCCTAAATGGCTGATGCACTGCTGCTGAGATAAGGTATTTAATATGGGAAAGGATTTAGATGTTCCTACAAGACCAGTCTAGGCTCCCTTTTTTTAAAATGTCATCTTGATTTGTGCTTTTTTCTTCTCTCTAAGTAATAGGCAGAGGGATTATGAAATTAATCTGGAAGCTAAATTCCACTAACAAAATCCTTGTATCCATTGGTAACATAAATAACTCTTGGTTCATAATACAATAATCCCAGATAGTAACCACTATGAGAAGACTCATAAACTAAACCTCATATTAGATACATTACCTTTAAAATTAACCTTTTTTGGGGGAAGCTGTAGGTCCACATATATTTAATTTGAAATAGTTATCTAATTTAATTTGTTTATGGCATTTTTTAAAAAGCAAAGGAAAACATTCTTGATATTAAAGAATCACCCATAATAGATATATACCTGTTACTTTTATATCTTAAAACTCATCCTGTAGCAATCCCATGGACTTTTTCAATTAAGTATTGAAGTTTAATTTCTACCCTAATTGTAAACCATGTTCTGTCATCTTTACAAATGCCAAGTAGCATCTTCCTCCCCATGTCTCTATTCTGCACATGGCCAGGGGATCCCTCTGCACAGAGGGGATCTGCAGGGCACACCAGGAGGTGTCCACACACCCATTTTAGGGTGGATCAGAAGTGCATTTCTGAAGTGAGTCTCCCATCCCATCCCCTGCTTCCTGGGCATTGACTCCATTCACAGGCCAGCCTTGGAGCTCACAAGCAGACATGACAAATGTGCTTCAGGAACAAAACTAAAATGCTCCAGCCATTACTGAGTGTTCAGTTGTGGGGAACAGATTAGAGTCTGTAACACCCCCAGACTGAGTGTAGTGTTGACATGTGTCCTCTGCATCAGCTGCCACTGAGAGAGCCCAGAGCAGAGTTCCACTGACCTTCCCAGCGCTGCAGCACACGGGGACAAGAGGCTGCAGGAGTAGTCCAGCTGCATTTGGAACATGTGAGCCTCCAAAGAAGAAAAGCATGGAATTTTCCAGTTCCCACCTGAGCTAGGATCTCTATGTGGTCCTGTGTTTGACCTGACAACTCTCCCTCTGGTGTGACCCACTGGGTACTGATGACCCTACAACTGAAAGATGGTGTCCAAAGCTTGCTCAGCTGGCCAGGAGCACTGAACGAGCCATCCCTGTACACAGGGTGAGAAGTGTGGAACTGCTCATATGTGCACCTGAAACTCTGGAGGTTGAGTCTTCTAATAGATACACTTTAAACCACGAGGGTTAAAATGATCTAGAAGGGCATGTGCTACTGGACAGGGAAGGATGTGATTCTTGAATAAAGTCTGCAAGGCTGAGAGAACTGGTGTTGGTAGGTAGCAAACTCCCAATCGCTCGAAGGAGCTCAGGTCACATAATACAACAGCAGGATGGTCAGTGGTTACTTGATTTTCCTCAGTAGTGGGCCAAAGGGTGGAGAGTTTACCTCACCAAAGTGTGTTTTTTTCATACATTGCATCTTTGTCAACAGCTGTCTCAGAAATCAAAACTAAGAGTTTAATCTACTGGTTTGCTATAGAAGTAGGTCTTCTGGTGCATGAGAGAAGCATAAGCTTGCAGTAGCCTGTTCTGGAAATTCTCTGGTACCTTTCTGTAGCTAGAGGGAGGAAATTAATGGATGCAGGTGCTAATTCTATAGTATTCTAATGAAAACTTTATTTTTATTTAAACTAAGCTTTTATGGGCCTCCTGCTTGTGAATAATGGTTGGTAGGAAAATTATCCTGGTTGTTAAAGTAGTGTGGACAGGGAGATAATTTCAGAGACTTGATCTCAGCTTCTACCTGGAGGGAGAAAATGAGAGCTAAAAAGTCCAGAACTGGAAACTTACAGGTTGTCTGCTGCAAGCAGAACTATCAGTGTTGTTTTTATGCAACTTCAGGAGAGTCGTGCTGCAAAGCAAAATGTTTTCCTCACTACAGCATATGAAGGACTTCTGTTGCAATGTCCTGAGTCAAGGTCCTTTGCATCACGTGTGATCACTCCCTAAGACAGACCTGCAGAGTCCAACCTCTGCTCCAGAGTGAGCACAGTTTCTGTCTTTCATTTAAAATTAGTATTATTCCCTTTTCTATAAAATTGCACTAAGTCTCATCAATCTGGATAGTCGTCGTCAAGGTGCTTTCTGTACTTAGTATGTGAAGACTTAAGTTTTGTTCCACTGCAGAAGCTGATACACAATGCCATCAATTATTGGGAATTTTATATGCCCTTCCATACACCTGAGGAGTATTTGGTTCATGGTATAGTTCAGGCTATGACCCTCTGCACCTGAAGAATATTGGGTTTATGGTATAGTTCAGGCTATGTTGATGAAAATAATTAAAGAGCACTTGATTCTTACTGAGTAAAGGCCTCTAGCTAAGGTTGATTGTGCTGATAAGGTAAAGTGCTGGAAAGCAAATTTTTTTTTTGAAAAGTTTTTAATAATCAGGACTCAATGTTTTGAAAATTATATATTTCTAGGCAGCTGTTGTTTGTACAAGAAGAGCAGATGTAAATAAAGGGGTTTTTTAAAGGTGTAGTCTGCTATTGTCAAAAGAGTTCTATTGAAAGGTATGCAGGAGAGGTGGATCCAGTTATGGACTGGAATTGCTATTTACTGTTTTGATTTGTGAGAAGTTATCACAGGCAATCAGCCATCTCCCTACCTTTAAGATGCGGGTGTTTTGAGGCAAGTATCACAAGATAACTCTGGAGACAAGCACTGACACAGATCTCATTTATCCTTGCCTTGGAGCTGGGAGATGCCTGTGCTCTAAGGAAACTAAACAAATGAAAGCAGAAGAAAAGAGTGGAAGGTAAAACATGAGATTATTTGGCAAAATTAAAGAGACGTGGAAGATCACTTAGTCAAATCTTGTGGGTTTAGGGTAATACCACAAATACAATGCTCTGAGCATTCTTAGGCCTCCTTTATTATAATTCTCCACCACATGCTGAATTCTCACCTCTGTGGTTGAGATCCCTTGGAATCACCTTGATCTGCTTTACTGCTTTGCTTTCAATGTATTATGTAGGGGGTTGGGGGGTCTTTTTGGCTTTTATCCTCCCGTGATGGCAGACATAATGTTGGCAGGATACAGAAAACTTAAAACAAGATGCACTCTCAGTCTTTATGGAAATTCCAATTATTTTCTGCTTTTGCTGCAAAATGGTGGTGAAATTGTTTAAAAACCAACACACAGGACTGAACGTCTTTAAAACAGTTGTGTCTTCTGTTGAATTAATAAACAAAGAAAAAGTAAGTATGCTTTCAATTTTTCTTATTGCTGCTAATTCTAGGAGTATGTTGTATTGTATATGAATAAGTAGAATAAGTTTTCAGTGAAAGGATAGAAAAGTGTCTAAAATTAGAAGATTATAGGTCTCAAATTTGCTTTGAAAGTTTGTCTCTTTGCCTAAGAAAGAGAACAGTATTGCACCAGAATTGCAGTGAGGGATTTGTATTAGATTCTCTGAGGATGTATTCTGTCTTCATGCTATGGATGAAGCTTGAACAATTTATACCAGCGGTGCCCAGCTTTTCCTTTGAAGTTTTGAATATTTTCCTGTAAATACCCAGAAAAGTGAAGCTTTGGAATTCTGTGGGGTTATGTTCTTGGTATCTCAGCAAAGTGCATCTCAAGAGAAGCCAGTACTTGTAACAGGATAGTGTCAGAGCTTTCAAAGGGAATACTGGAGTTTCCTTGTGCTAGTGAACTTAAATGCAGAAGAGTCTGCCAATATGACC